GGGAAGAGAGAACAGACCCCTCTGCTTGCTGGGAGGAGTGTCCGAGAACTTGCAGGCAGGATTTTAAATCACCACCCCCGGCAGCCGAGCTGGCCATCGTGCTTAGTGACAGGGGATGGCTGAGAAGGCATCTCAGACCCTGCGGTTCTGTCACAGGGTTTTGAGGCATTGGAGCAAATATCTGGCAGTGGAAACCTGGTTGAATGGGGAGGGAAGCTCTCCTTAGAAGAAGATATTTAAAAGTACAAGGAAAATGAGATAGAATTCTGTATGTGCAGGAGAAAATGTATCCATATAATAAATGTGTCCTGTGTGTGTAAGCGATTTTAAGAGCAAAATTGTACAATTAATTGAATTAGTGAAACGATTGTGTGCACCAGATGCCAGGATTAGGGAAGAGGAGAGAATGAGAGTGGGGATACCCAGCTTGGGTGTTGTACTGCTTCAAGTTTCCCCCGTTACTTACAAAAGAAAGTTAATTAAATAACTTGTTAAAAGCACCCTAAATGTATAATATAGAACCCTGAAATGGAGAAAGACGAAAACAGGTTTAAGAGGGAAGGAAAATGAAAAGACCGATAATAGAAAATCAGTTCTCAAGAGACTGTGGACCATTGCTTCTGAAGGTGCAAAGCAGGGCAGTGAGTGAACGTGGCTGAGTGTAGACTCTGGGGCTGAGCTGCCGGGTTCAAATCACGGCTCCCCATCCCCAGCTGTGTGGTAGGAGGGAGCGTTCTGTGCCTCTCTGTGCTGCTTCTCCTTGGTCACAACAAGGAGCTAATAATAGGACCTGCCTCATCAGGTGGTTGGGAGGATTAAAGGTGTCAGGACAGCCCTCGCCCTCCTAGCACGTGTGTTCGCAGGAAGCGCTTGGGACGGATTGGCCATTTCGCTCGTCACGAATTTCCTCCTTGCCTTTGCCAGATGCAAGTATCCTGCCCAATGCGAGCTGTGGGCAGCCAGCCAAGTAAACAGAAGGAGGAAGGCCTTTCCCTTTCTTGGGTCCTGGGATCACGTATGCATTGGAATTCAAGGGAGGAGGAGGCCTTCCTGCGCCATCTAGGCACCCATCAATCTGCAGGTTTCCACCCTCTACACTTGTCCTTATTCCAACATGCTTTAAAAATCGGTTCCATATTTAAAACATGTCAAGTTAGATTTTAGTTATAGATTCTCTGACATATTTGGAATCAGAGCCTCAGGAGTCTATTATGCAAATCCATGCAAATGATATGCAAAGAGGCGGTAGTCCCAGATTGTGAGGAGGGGAATGAGCAGGCCAGCACAAAGGGCCTGGAGTGAAAATTTGCATCTGTTAGGGGAGCCCTGGGTTGAAGGCCTTGCACAGTTATTGTGACGGTCTGTGCCTTGCATTCAGTCCTTAACCTTTTGTGCCAAGGATAGACATTGTCCAGTGAAGGTGATGGTGCGGGTTGAAGGGGATGTTTGGGCAGCAATGTTGCAGCAGTTTTTATGACACAAATGAAGTTGCTTTGAAATAATGGCTGTGATCCAGGCTGTGTCTCCAACCAGCTGTGTGTTCTTGGACAAATCACTTCACTCCTTCCGTTGCCTGCTCTGTGAAATGAGGGTGTTGGGTTAAGTTGCCTGTAGGGCCCCAGTCACTGTGACAGCGAAATGTCACCCTCCAGGTGAAAACCCTTTGCATCTATGATGGCGGTATCCATTCATCGCACCAAAGGTTTACTCTAACGTCTAAAGAAGAGGCTAAGGGGTAACTTAACAGTCTTCCTAGAGAGAAAAATAACTTCAGGGGTTGCTGGCAACTCAAAAGAGCCCCAGCAAGGGCAACTGTGTTCACTTCCGCTGTCAGTCTTATCGGAGAACTCCAGTCATATGCTTCCAAGCTGGAAGGATTTTAGCCCCTGGGATGCTCGTGGGGGAATTTCTTTCCCTGAGTAATTTGAAGACCAGGATGCATTAAGCCCTCTGCCTCTAGGGTCTGCAGAAGTCCTCCTACAGGCCAAGTGGTTTCCCCGCCTGTCCCTGGGGTCCTCTCTGAAAGCTCTGTGCCACCCTTGCTGCTGCCAGGAGAAGGCAGGGCCCTTAGTCTCAGCCTCATTGTACTAAACACACCTGTGGGCCCTTCACTTGAACTCCAGCTGTCTGTCAAGGCACCACCAGCCGGGCACAGGTGTGAGCTGACAGCCTCTCTGCCCAGGGCTTCTGTAATTCAGTCACATGGGTCTCGTGGAGGAGCAGGGAGTCAGGTGGAGCGAGCACCGGCACGGGGAGGGGGGCTGCCAGGGCGCTGTGCTCCGCTCACAGACAGGTCCAGGTGCGTCTGCTCCGCTCCTCAGCTGTCCCCAGTAGATGTGAGTTGCCCAACCTGCCCTGGGGTCGATTTTCCCTGTTTCACTCATCTCAGACCCCCATGGCTGTCCCCTCAGGTCACTCCCCAAAATAAACTCCCTGCACACAAGCCCTGGTCTCCGCGCTCTCCTTTTTCGGGGATCTCTAACTGAAGACACTTACTTCAGTCTGCTTGGGCTGCTGTGCCCAGTGGCATCACGGGCTAGGGGCTTAAACAACAGAAATTCATCTCCGCATAGTTCTGGAAGTCCAAGATCAAGGTGCCAGCAGGGCTGGAATCCCTTGAGGTCTCTCTTCTTGGCTTACAGATGTCTGGACTCTCACTGTGTCCTGTCAAGGCCTTTTCTCTGTGCACAAGCATTCCTGGTGTCTTTCTCCATGTCCTAAGTTCCTGTTCTGCTAAAGACACCAGTCAGATTGGATTAGGACCCACCCCAGTGGCTTCATTTTTCCCTAATCACCTCTTCAAAGGCCCCATCTAACATACAGTCCCATTCTGTGGCTAGGGATTCAGCACATGGATTTGAGAGGATCACAGTTCCGCCCATAACAACACATATTGAACCAGGATGCTCAAGAACCAAACAGAGGCTTATAAAGGAGTGTCCCTCAACACCCCAGTGGTCATGACCACCAGCCCTAGAAATAGATTGTCCCTGTGGAGTTGAACTGCCAGGGAGGGGCTGGAATGATCCTGAACCGGTCACAGCCCAGAGGCACACGTTCCCTCTGTGGCTGTAACTTGTCCTCTTCCTGCCTCATTGATGGCGGGTCCAGGAACAGCACGTGTTTGGGATACAGCCCGGGTGTCACATACTTCTGCTACTGAGGGAGTTTGAACATGTTACTTAATCTCCCTGAGCCTCAATTTCCTGCCCCATCAAGTGGTTATGAGGGTTAAACTGAGCTTGAAAGACAGGCCAGAGCAGATGCTCAGTTAATGGTTTTTACGATTGACCCAGATAAGCAGAAAACACTGTTGGTGTATGGGCAATACCATGAATGAAAGTTTACAAAAAAATAGGTTTATAGGACAAATTGTTTGTCCTGGAGCAGTGGGTGCTATGGTTTCTGTTCAATCTGCAGTCCCTCAGCCTCCCCCACCCACTAAGGTAGATGTGCAGGGTGAGGGGACACTGGTCCACTCAGATCCCACCCCACAACTAAGCTGGAAGAGGCCTCAGTGGTCCTGGGCCTTGTTTCAAAGGTGTGTCAGGAGAGCTCCTCCTCCTCTCTGCTTCTAGAAACTCACCAGGGCCCCTGCCTTCTCCTGTCAACTTTGCTGACCACCTCGGACCCCTAGAAGTCACCACCAGGGCCCCTGCTTTGACCATTTGTTCTGCTGCAATCTGGTGGGGGAGGGAGACTCCGAGAGAGTTAGCAGACAGAGACAGAGCTTTACCATTGTCTGGGCAGCTAGCAGGGCTGAAGGAAGGGCCTGAGAGCGACCAGGCAGGGGTTCACATGAACAAGGAGGTGCTCACAGGTCAGAATCAGGCCTTAGAGGTCTTTCCAGCGCGCCTCTGCGACAGACAGCTCTTCCCTGCCCACGTGCTGTACGCTGGGGTTGGGGGGACGGGGCAGTCTTCCGGTCTATAACCCAGATAGGTCCTACATCTCACATTTACACGAGGTATTATTTTTAAAGATAGGCACATGCTGTTGTGATTAATAAAAATCCACCCGTAGTAAGAAGAGGTGTTAAATGCACAGGTTTTTGTCCTTGTGCATTTTCTCAGTGAACTAAAAGCATACACACTGACCATCATGCACAGTCCAAGGTCTTCTTTTAATGCCCAGAAGGGTTCCTCCTACTCAGAAAGGCTAGGCTGTGGTTTTCACAGAGAGTTCAGCCTCCCGAGCATCGTCGGAGAAGCAGTTAAAATGACAATGGAACACACCTTCTCTTCCAGGCTCCGTGCTGTGTGCTTTACAGGCGCCAGATCTGGTCTCTGGACCCCTGTCCCCTTCTGCCTGTCACTCTCCAGTGACACTGAGACGTCTGCCTGGTTTTAGGGTCGTTTGTGGATTTGTACGTGCTCACCCGGGGCCACAGACTGCCCTGTTCATTTTGGTGTCCTCCGGGGTCGAGGAGAGGGTAGACCCTCCTTAACTGTTTGGTAGGTGGGCCTGAATGAGCGGACGTCTGTCGTCTGTACCTTTGTCTCGTTCATAAATGGAAGATTCAGAAAAGGTGGGGGAGCTGGTCAGCTCTGCCCACCCGAGTCCTCCTCACTGGCTCAGGGCCACCCACGCAGAGCTGCCGGCTTCCCTGTGGTCAGGCTGGCCTCGACCGCTTCCTGGTGCATTGGGCCAGCAGGCGCCGGGAGGCCACAAGCCCTTCCACACCCCCCACCCCTCCAGCCTGTTCCGAGAAGCTGCCCTTGGACAGGGGGCCATGGCGTTTCAGATGCATTTGGGAAAGGACTGCTTTAGCCGACTCTGGTTGCCCTGCAGCTGGGTTCTCTCCCAAACAGGTGCTGGGTGGCGCCCACCTGATGGACCTGCCCCAACTCCACGTGGCCCTGTGTCTGATGAGCATGAGCCTCGGGGAGGCTCCCGGTGTTTCCCATGAGTTCCCAGGCGTTCCAGGTTCGTGGGTAAGGAAGGCCCTGGGCTGAGCTGCTCCCAGGTGTTTCACCTCTGCTCTCTGTCTCCCTCTCAAGGCTTCCTCCTGATCTTGGCACTGACCGAAGCACCGGTGTTTGCTGCCCAGGAACCATCTCCCAGGGAATCTCTTCAAGTCTTCCCCTCAGGCACCACCCCAGGCACCATGCTGACAGCACCCCTCAGCTTCACCAGACACTCCTCCATGGTGGCTGCCCCCGCCTCCATGGTAACACGGACCCCTCATCCCGACAGACCCTCCTCACAGGCCACGGCTCCCATGGCAACGATGACGCCCCATCCAGACGGACACCCTCCTACAAACACTGTCTCCACCATCATGGCAACAGCAACCACTCCCCAACCTGAAGGCCCCCTGTCCACAGGGCCACCTCCTGCTGCCATGGCAACCACATCCTCCCACTCAGAAGGCCGCCCCCCAGGGGAGGCTACACCCACCATCCTGCCGACAAAGCAGAGGAGAGCCACCAGCCGCCCCCCCACAGCACCCTCCCGGGTGACCACACGTAGGCCCCCCAGGCCTCCAGGCTCTTCCCGAAAGGGAACTGGCAGTTCACGCCCTGTCCCGCCTGCACCCAGCGGTCACTCTGTGAGGAAGGAAGGCCAGCGGGGACGAAATCAGAGTTCCACACACCTGGGGCAGAAGCGGCCCCTGGGGAAAATCTTTCAGATTTACAAAGGCAACTTCACAGGATCTGTGGAGCCTGACCCCTCCATCCTCACCCCCCGGAACCCACTCTGGGGTTACTCCTCCTCACCACAGCCCCAGACAGTGGCCACAACCTTGGCGCCCAGCAGGACCTCGTGGGTACCACCCACCACCCCCCTGGTGCCTGCAGAGGACAAGCCCGGCCTTAGCAGAGCAGACCAAGGGGGTGGTTCCACCTTCACCAGCCAAGGAGGGGAG